TGTAGACGACTTTTCCGGAAGTCGAAGATACGGCTTTTCGCTTGAGCGCGCATGCCGTTTTGGGGTGTAACGTAAACTTTTACGCGTGATATTATGTTTCTGGGTTTACCAATCGACGTCACAAAAATAAAATTCCGTTCTATCGACTATCAGCAAACTGACATGTTTGTCTTTTCCGCCATGACAAGCAGGAGTATTTTTGCACCCCAGTTTTGCTACTTCCGGGAAAGTCGTCTATACAAGTAATAAAGTATTTTAGGGATTGAGTGAAACTATAGGTTAAGTAATGGCTACAACGTTTACCGGTATTTTCAATCTTTAAACGAGTATAAAGTTATATTTAGGCAATCAATTGTTATAAAAATATGATGAAAATATAGATTCTATGCTACATTATTCGACACCACACGTACCAAATGTAAAAAAAAACTACCTACCCGCGGCCACGTTTGGATCAGGAACACACACAGCGGAATCGTTATTATTCGGTAGAACATCACAATCAATTGGCCAGCGTATGCCTCCTGTGTTGAACTTTGGTTCGCACTCGCTCCTTGCAATTTCACAGAAATAATTGCAAGGCGGTCGATAATAGCCTTCATCGCTGCATTCAGGGGCTAATAATGCACACATGAAAAACCCTATATGCTCGTAACAACCAGCTCTCTCATACTGTAGTGATTGTATGAAGTCTCTTATTCCTTGGTTGTTGGATCTTGATCGACTGAATGAAGCCAGCCTAGCATAATTCAAATCCAAGTACTGACAACTTTCTATCGTGATGTCGACGCAATCTGAAAATATTACATGAATCGTAGTTCAGTTTAATAGATTCGACACACTGCTGTATATTTCAGGAAAGAATAAAGCTTTATAAAATATCTTAGGTGTAAATGGCCGCCGAGATCTCATTGGCAGCGAGAAAGCAGCGAGACTTATTAAAGCCACGAGACTTATTATTTTCTCAAATACTGTTCCTCCTTCCCGCCATCGCGTCAACTGTTCGAATGATCTATGTGACTATGGTATTTGGAAAATGGTTTAAAATACTGTGTTAGGGGCACAACCATTCTCTTTCCCAGAGTTCTAATGGTTAGTATCTCTGCTACCACACAACCTCATTGCGTCACCGTCAATTTTTTTTTTTATCTTGGTGTGTTTTGGCTATTAAAGTGCTCTTTTGATTACTCCTTACTGGCAAACAAGTGTTAAAACATGATATCGATAGCTGAAAATAATTGCATCGCGGAATAACGGGTACCAAGGTGTTATTTATTTCTTCAAGTTGAGCGTCCTGCCAATTTCCAGTCGAAGAAATGTAAACAACGAAATACCGTCGCAGTATTGAGGCTACTTCGAGGTTCTACTAGTTGATGTGTGCTATGGAAATTGAATACTGATCTTCTGCCTTTGAAAACAGACAGAATATACAAACATCTTTTGTGCTTTCACTTGGTTTGAGAATCATCTTTTAGAAGAAGTATCACTGTGACCCATCGACCAATCAACGACAAGCATAAAATCGCGTGGTGGCATAAATATTGTCATAGAAATAGTGTGGGAAATTTAACAAAAAACGTATGGCTGTATATGTGATATATTTACACTCACCACATTGCTGCCCAGTATATCCAATGGAACAGAAGCACGTGTAGTCATTGATACCATCAATGCACGTACCTCCATTAGCACACGGCGTGCTGCTGCATTCGTCAAAATCTTAATCAATACAAATGGGGAAACAATAAATTACGTATTTACAATAAACTCTAATATAATTTGAATCATACTTAGGTAAAATGATAAACATAAAATAATCAACTCCGAGTTCAGAATTTCAACACTTTAATGAATTTCATGCGCTAATTGATGTGGAAACAAAACAATAAACAAGAAACACTAATTGACGAGAATATTGTGTTCTTATTAAAAAAATAATTAATAATTGCTATCTGGTTTTGATTATCAGCAATCCAGACAAGTTAGTTAAATTTAAATATTAAGTATTTTCAAATGTTTACAAACTAGAACTATATTATTTATTGTATATGTTGCACACGTGAATGTGGTGATTGTGTTCAGTTAGTCATAAATTAAATATTCACTATAACATTTTTCGACATAGTGAAATTCTTTTGTTTTTAAGCAGAAAAACACAGTATTTTTACCAAATAAAAACATATTTATTAAAGTTATTGTTCATTCATGAGTTGTTGAAAAGACATTATAGATTATAATTTCATTCAGCTTCTTTCACTCATAATTCAAGATAAAAAAAAGGCAAAAGTATAGAGAATATAGCAAATTGTATTTTTTATATAATATTCTTGTGCAATCGATAAGTATGCTTACATGACGTCGGAATATAATGAGATGCTTACATGACGTCGGAATATAATGAGATGCTTACATGACGTCGGAATATAATGAGACGCTTACATGACGTCGGAATATAATGAGATGCTTACATGACGTCGGAATATAATGAGATGCTTACATGACGTCGGAATATAATGAGATGCTTACATGACGTCGGAATATAATGAGATGCTTACATGATGTCGGAATATAATGAGATGCTTACATGACGTCGGAATATAATGAGATGCTTACATGATGTCGGAATATAATGAGATGCTTACATGACGTCGGAATATAATGAGATGCTTACATGACGTCGGAATATAATGAGATGCTTGCATGATGTCGGAATATAATGAGATGCTTACATGACGTCGGAATATAATGAGATGCTTACATGACGTCGGAATGTGTTTGAAATCCCCCCGCCTTTACATCAGTCACATAATTACACAATACACATGTATACTGACCAATTTCACATTGATGTCCAATATATCCAGCCTCACACGCGCACGTGTAGTTCTGCTCACTTGTAGCCAAACACGTGCCATTGTGTTGACAGGGGAAGCTCAGGCAAGGTGTAATTCCTGAAATATGTGTAAACAGATACATAATCAATAATGACATGTAGACCGTATTATTTGTTGATTTCTGGTGGTATTTCACCCGTCTCTTGTAACAGAGGGCTTCACTGTTACCCTTCTACTCAAAAACAGTCTGACAATACTTATTTCTAAAAAATGGCGCCAAGTTACTAGTAGTTTATTATATAGAGATTACAGAGATACATAATCAATAATGACATGTAGACCGTATTATTTGTTGATTTCTGGTGGTATTTCACCCGTCTCTTGTAACAGAGGGCTTCACTGTTACCCTTCTACTCAAAAACAGTCTGACAATACTTATTTCTAAAAAATGGCGCCAAGTTACTAGTAGTTTATTATATAGAGATTACAGAGATACATAATCAATAATGACATGTAGACCGTATTATTTGTTGATTTCTGGTGGTATTTCACCCGTCCCTTGTAACAGAGGGCTTCACTGTTACCCTTCTACTCAAAAACAGTCTGACAATACTTATTTCTAAAAAATGGCGCCAAGTTACTAGTAGTTTATTATACAGAGATTACTTAATAAAACTAACTCTGAAAACATAACTTTATATTACACCATTCACCAATACCATACGTGATTATATTACTTGCTAACACTGTCATTGGTTACATTACTTACTAATACACGTTGTATTTACATTACTTACTAGATTATATTTGATTACATACATATTTCACTAATGCAATCTATGATTGTATTATTTACCAATACTATCTGTGAATATAACAATTATCTTACTATCTGATTATAATATTCACAAATGATATATATTTTTGTCAATGCTGCCTATGATTACATTATTTACTAATACAATCTGAGATTACATCACTTACTAAAACACTGATTATATTACTTACTGAAACACTGATTATATTACTTACTAAAACACTGATTACATCACTTACTAAAACACTGCTTACATCACTTACTAAAACACTGATTACATCACTTACTAAAACACTGATTATATTACTTACTAACCAACTGATTATATTACTTACTAAAACACTGATTATATTACTTACTAAAACACTGTTTATATTACTTACTAAAACACTGATTATATTACTTACTAAAACACTGATTACATCACTTACTAAAACACTGATTACATCACTTACTAAAACACTGATTACATCACTTACTAAAACACTGATTATATTACTTACTAAAACACTGATTTTATTACTTACTAAAACACTGATTATATTACTTACTAAAACACTGATTATATTACTTACTAAAACACTGATTACATTACTTACTAAAACACTGATTACATCAATTACTAAAACACTGATTACATCACTTACTAAAACACTGATTATATTACTTACTAAAACACTGATTATTACTTACTGGCATAATCTTTGATTACATTATTTACTAATACAATCTGAGATTACATCACTTACTAAAACACTGATTATATTACTTACTGGCACAATCTTTGATTACATATTCACTAATAAACTCTGTGATTACATTACTTACTCATACACTTCGGTTACATTATTTATTAATATACTTTGATTACATCACTTACTAAAACACTGATTATATTTCTTACTAGCACAGTCATTGATTATATATTCACTAATAAACTCTGATTACATCACTTACTAAAACACTGATTATATTACTTACTAGCACAATCTTTGATTACATTACTTACTAAAACACTGATTATATTACTTACTATCACAATCTTTGATTACATTATTCACTAATAAACTCTGTGATTACATTACTTACTAAAACACTGATTATATTACTTTATTAGCACAATCTTTGATTACATATTCACTAATAAACTCTGTGATTATATTACTTACTAAAACACTGATTATATTACTTACTATCACAATCTTTGATTACATTATTTACTAATAAACTCTGTGATTACATTACTTACTAAAACACAGATTATATTATTTACTAATAAAACAATCTGATTTCATTACTTACTAATACAATCGACAGCTTCAACGGGAGACGGAAGTGAAGAACAATTGACTGGCCATACCAACCCACCGAAATGCATAGTATCTTCACACGCTGAGCGCACATCGTCACAAAAAGCTCGACACGGTTGGCGGTAGGTTCCGTTAACACCGCATTCTGGAGACAATAATGAACACATAAAAAGCTGAATGTATTCATGACATCCTTCAACTTCCCTCGTTCTATCGATGACCTGCTCCGTTTGTTGTCTTGTTAGTCCGAATGGACTATAAAATTGAGAACCCCCATATGGAAGATACGGCTCACAAAAAGGAATCCCAATGTTTTCACAATCTGTAAACAAAGCAAATATGTAATTAGAAAAACTATCCTACACAACCCAGTAAATCCAGTGAAAGTATTACATGCAGTTACGTAATACATTCAGTAAAATTGGTACTTCTGTTGAAAGTCATACCACCATTGGAATCAATACGTTTAATGTAAGTAATACATTCATTGTTGGTAATACATTAATTGAATGTAATGCGTCCGTTGATAGTAATGCACCCAATAAAAGTAATATGTTCAATGAAATTACTACCTCCATTTAAAGTAATACGTTCAATGTAAGTAATACTCCCATTGAAAGTAATTCATTCAATGAAAGTAATATAATCATTGAAAAAAAGTATATGCAGTTAAGTAATACGTCCAATGAAAGTAATAGTTCCATTGAAATCAATGCATCTAGTAAAAGCGGCGTACATATGTAAAAGCATTGCCATTCAAACCGACAATAGTGTTTGGATGTTTTCATCTAGAATACGGCAACAATATTTCAAAAATATAATTCTCGTTGGTGAACGACTACAAAGCACAAAGATAGTGACGCTTTGAACTCTTTTACGTCATCAATTTTGTAGAAGCGATTTGTTACTTAAATATTGCGATAAAGACTTTCCTTTTTACCAAGTAAAATCATATTTATTAAAGTTATTGTTTATACATGAGTTGTCGAATACACTACATAGTTTATAATTTCATTTAGTTTCTTTCAGTCATAATTCAAGACAAATAAAAGGCACAAATACACAGAATATATCAAATTAATATTCTTTGGTAAATCGGTAATTATTTATGGGTGCATAGGAAATACATATCGCTATAAATTGTTCTTAATATGAATTTCTGAAATATCTTGTAAAAATCAGTTTTTACAGGGTTTTTTTTCCAAAGAATTTTGAAAATGGAAAGTTTTTATCGCAGTGTTCTAAAGTCATGTCGTGTCGTGTCATATATAGACAACTTACACTTCACTGCCTCAAGTTCCAATCGAAATCCCCGGTAGGTGATGGACGCATCAGTCGCAAACTGAATCCATATCGTGTGGGTTTCGGATATCCAGTCATCAGGGATGGTAGATCCAGAATGCATTACTACTTGGGACTGCAAGGATGGGCTATCACCGATGCCTAAGCTCAAGTTGTCGCGTTGAAACTGCGTGTTGAACTCTAGAAAATGTACATTGATCGCTACCCCTTCCTCCGAAGAAACAATCCAGGTACAGTGGTGGAGGTTTTCATAACTATCAGGATAATTTTTGGAAGTAATGTGGTTATGCTGCCCCAGAGACATTCGTATGATATGTATGCACTCTGTCAACAATAAAGATATAACAATGCTTATATAAATATTCGTATATTAAAAAAAATACAGCACAAAATACAGATATCATAACAAAAGTATATGACTTGAAAATGGAAGTTTGTCAACTAACCATATAACGATATAGGATAATGGCAATGCTACAATCATAATTTCTATCCTCCTTTCTTTGGCAAAACATCACTTACACGTGATGGGAGTGAATTCTGACTGAATTACATTACCGTGCATATTTTATTTTAAATTAAACGTTCATATCATTGTATTTTGAACACTTCTGCATATGTATCACTATGATATGTTAATTATTGAGTTGAATAAGTTATGCGAAAGACAAATTCAATAACAGATACAAATTTGTCTTTGATTTTGTACTCCATGATAGTAAATGGTGACCACGCGTGTTCACAATGGCGTATACTGTGATTATATTTATTATGTTTGAAATATATTATTATCACAACACGCTGGTTGGAGGTTATATGCTAATTAAAGGGTAAAGGTGGTCGATATCCCATAATCCCATGGGTTTGGGAGGGTTACTGCTACAATCTAACTACAGTATATGTGAACCATATTGAATCTAAATAAGCATAATGGGTTGGGTAAATGATTACAAGTCAAGTTCGTCTACGATTCTTTAAAAAGTACTGGTTACATTGTCTTTCACTAGCTAGGGAGTTTCATATCCCATTCAGTCACACCCCACCATTTTACCAGCCAACAGTGAAACACCTATCTACCCAGCTTGTCAGTATTTATGTCAGTTCAGCTAACATTACACGTTTTATATTTATCTGTATATCAGTTCTTTTTATTTAGATAATGGCAATTTGTTGGTCAGAGCGCCCTCTAGTATTTGCGGGGAATCATGTTTATTTGGAATGCTCTGATTGGTTGGAAGTTCGAGCCTAGCAAGGTGTAATAGAATTGGCCTGTAATGTTCAGATTCAAATAAGTATGAATTTGACAGAGAAGTGATACTTATAATGCAGCAAGCTATTTTAATTGCTGTTGTGGTCGAGTTTTTATATTTTCCTGTCAAATGCATTTATTGGTCCACTGAAAAATCAAAATAATGTTCCCTGTAACTTAGACTCTTGTTGATCAAGGCATTTTTAAAATCATGGGTGTTAACTCCCCTCAAGTTATGACCCGTTGTCCCCTATAAAATAATGGTTGCATCTAATATTAAAATAAAGATTGCGGAGTATAGCGTTGATTCATCTCGTTCTACTCTGGATTACTTGGAGCCAATACAGATCCTAGAAAGTTAGTATTTATATGCCTGTGTGTTTTTGTGTGTGTGTTTTTTCACTGTCTTTGACTTTCCCAGTATTTGTGTTGCTATTGACAGCAATTTAGTCCTTTGCAAAGCTTCAGTCAATGTTTTTTTTACTACCTACCCATCTCCTCGTCGGTCACTATGTAGCTGGTGTGGTATATTTATCACAGACAGTAGGGCATTTGTCACATTTAGTGCTCCAAAACAATATTCTCTGTCCATGTGTATTCATATAAATAGATGCAGTTTCTTTGGCTTGAATAACATTCACTGGCTTCGTACATACAGGTATACTGGTTTATCTGTTTTTAGTTGAAATTTAGCCAATCTTATTACCCAAGACAGTTGGACATTTTCCACATGTACTAACACTCGTCCCAAGTGCCATAGCTTG